ACATACAAGAAGCTTCCAGTTTTTTCAAAAAATCTATCACATATTTCTGTTGTGAGATAAAAAATACCATACCGTGAGTGAGCTACTTCAATTCCTAAAAAGTACTTTAATCTCCCTAACTTTTTATCTCAAATTCTCTAGCCAAACACTGTTTTGAAGATTCTTTCTCTTTTTATCATCTCCAATTATAATTATATCATCAACATACACTATAAAACTGCGACTCTTCCTGAATCAGAGTGCTTGATAAACAATGTGTGATCTCCTTGACTCTGTTTATATCCCATTGCTAATCACTTTGGTAAATCTCTCGAACCAAGCTCTAGGAGACTGTTTAAGGTCATATAAAGCTTTTTTTCAACTTGCATACTTTGTTTGCTTCTAAATGACCTTTAAATCTCAGTGAAACCTTCATATATAATTTCTTCTTCCAAATCACCATGTAGAAAAGCATTCTTTAGATCAAATGTTGAAGCTGTCAATTGTAATTTGCAACCAATGATAACAAAATCCCTAACTGTATTCCTCTGGCAACTGGAGCAAAAGTTTCCTGGTAATCCACTCCATAGGTTTTGAATGTAGGCCCTTAATGACTAACCTGACTTTATATCTTTCAACAGTATCATCTACCTTGTATTTACAGTGAAAACTCATTTACACCCCACTGAATTTTTTCTTTAAGCAACTCTACTAGTTCTCATGTTTGATTTTTCTCTAAGGCCTCTATTTTTATTTTCATGGCTTGCCTCCATTTTTATTGGATAATACCTCGGATAATGTAGTTAAAACAGAAATAGTGTTTAGGCTCACAAGAAAATTTTTGTGGGATGGTAAAATTTTTCAAATGACACAAAATTAGATATTGGGTATAGTGGATGCTTGGTACATTTTCTGGTTCCTTTCTTAATGGCAATAAGCAAATCATAATCACTAGCTATAGTTTTAGAAATTTATGCTCATTTGAGAAACAAGTCAAAAACTGTAGTTACCTCATTTTCAGAGTTACGATTAATTCTTGGACTGGCACTGATTCAAGATCTGGAAACTTTTCTTCTTGAGTACACCTGTAATTCTTTCACAGAATCAAGAACAATATTATTCTTTGTCACATCTTTCGTATTTGGAATAGGTTCAGACTCAAATTCAGTGTTTGACTTGGACTCAATAGAAATAGGTTTCGACTTAAAAAAATTAATGGGGGTAAATGTTGAAGAAAGGGGCAAATCAAACAAAAAAAAATCTTTATTCTTATCTTTCATGAATGAAGTCTCCCCCTGAAGATAAGATTAAGTAAAAAATTATTTATTTTCTTCAAAAGTGATATCTGCAAACAAAATTTTTTTGTAAGAAGATGATAGCACTTATATCCTTTTTTAGTTGAAAAATACACCACAAAATACACTTAATCGCTCTTAAATCCAACTTTCTCCTGTTATGACTGTGAACATGAATAAATGATGTACAACCAAATATCTTATGTGTGAGATTGTTTGTGATATTGAGGTTGAGATAAAATTCTGAAAGTAGTTTCATAAGAGTTTTAAATCTCAAAACTCTTGAAGGAAATCTATTTATAATGTGTGTGACAGTGAGAACAGCTTTCTTTCAATAAGATTTAGGTACATTTACTTGAAAAAGAAAAGCACAGATTGTGGCTAGCAAATAACTGTTTTTTCTCTCTGTCACTCCATTCTGCTGTGAAGTATTAACACAAGATGAGCCATGGATAATCTCTTCTTTTTGAAAATAGATGAATAGACTCTGTTTAAGTAGTCTCTTGCATTATTAGACCTAAATCTCTTGATTCTCACTCCAAATTTATTTTGGATCATATTTTGAAAGATTAAAAACATACTATTCACATCTGATTTAGATTTAAGTAAAAAAATTCAAGAGATCCTAGTACAATTATCTATGAATGAAATAAATCATCTCACATCAAAAATATTAAGAATTGTAAAAAGACCTCAAATGTCACTATGAATCAAGTAAAAGAGAGTAAAATTTCTTTTGTTACTGGTTGAAAAAGACACACGTTTATGTTTTGTAAATTCACAAATATCATAATAAAAATCTTCAACATTTAATCCTTTGAACAAAGAAGGAAACATGTTTCTCAAGGTTCCAAAAGAAGGATGTCCAAGACGAAAATAATAAAGCTAGATTTGTCTTTATTGAAAGATTTTTCAGAAAGAAATGACAAAAGTAAACTATTTTTTATACTACTTGTGTTATTTGATGTCTCAAGATAATATAATCCATCTTTCTCTTTAGCAAGTCCAATCATCTTTCCCAAACTCTGATCCTGAAATTCACAATAAGAAGGATAAAAAGTTACTTTACAATTCATATCTCTGGTAAGTTTTTGTATAAATATCATATTAGTAGACAATCTAGAAACATGAAGAATATTTTTTAGAACAAATGAGTGATTAACTTGAACATCTCCTAATCTTGCCACTGTGGTAAGTGAACCATCAGCAACAATAATTTTTTTATTACTAAGACACAGGTTATATGTACTAAACTTTTGTAAGGAATGTGTCATGTGGTCTGCGGCTCCTGAGTCAATAACCCAAGAACTCGTAATAGGCTTAATCGAGACATTTAATCCATGAGAACCGAAAGCTTTACCTGAACTAGAAACTTTACCCAAAGAACATACCATAATAGGCTTTTCAAGGATTTTCAATAAGTTTCTCAGCTTTTCAATCTCTTCCCTGTTGAACTCTCCTTGTTTCTGATACATCTGTAGTACTCCAGTGATTTTTCTAGTTAACATTTACTCAAATTAGGTGGTTATGATATCTTTCTTTGAAAGGGTTCGACAATGAAGGCTTAAATAGGATTCGACAATGAAGGCCTAAAAAAGTCAGCAATGAAGGTTGAAAATTTTGCTTCCCAAGAAGAGCCTAAAGCTCTGATACCATGTAAAAACTGAATGTATATTGAAAAACTACTTATTTTTAATTATACAAGAATCTTAGGTCTATATACAACTAACTAGGGGTTAAACTAGGAGACTAAATTTTTCTTAATTCTAGGGATACAAATACTTAATTCTAGAGATACAAATATAAATATACAGATTACAAGATTACAACCAGCTATAAATAAGTGTTTTCCCACAATTGTCACTACTTATAAAATATATATATTAATTCGTACTCTCCAAAAAAATGTGCCACATTAGATTTCTTTTCCTTTTGAAATAAGTTACAACATACTCAATCACCATCTTCTTTGTAAAAATATACCATCTTTTTTTTTACATAAAGAGGTTGAATTACATAATTGGAAGTAGACTTCTCCATCCCATAAATTTCACTATAACTTTCACGATGGAATCTCAAATTCTAATAGTTGGGAAGATACCTTCGAGACATAATCTTTTTTAATTTCCACTTTCTTGCTACCAATAACCCTAGTTCAACCTTTCCCCTTTCTATTTCCCCAATTCAATTTTTCAACAAAATTCCAGCTGTAACCAAAAACTATTTTCTCGTATTTGCATCAAATTTATTTGCTAGAAGCTTTAGTGGTAGGGAAGCTTTTTCTTCTTATCAATTTAATTCAATTCATTATTCCCAAAACCACTCTTAAATTACACCTGAAAGCAAAAGTTGGCATTGTTCTAACTATTCCATCCCTAATATAATCCTAAGAGAACTGAATCAACAGATAAATTCCTTTCCTCATAAATCTTCCATTAGCCATTCTCAACTAGGAATCTCTTCTCATCATATTTACATTAATTCATTCTCTAAAATATATACATTGGCAATCTTCTCTTTAAACAAATAGTCAATAATTCAATCTTTTCGTAATTTTAGGCTTGCCAAATTTGGAGTTGACATTTAGAATTTAAAGTTAAATTAGGAAAAGGTGGAGATATGGAGAATGAAGGTTTAAGAAATGCTAGAGGGAGACATACATAAAATGAAAGAAATTAAGAGCATTTTTAAATAGAATGATCATGTATGTAGCAACCTATTTTACAATATAAAAAAATTGATGTAATATGTTTTAATTGGAAAGTTTAGATATGAAAATCTCATAGCTAAGCTCTATTAGAGTTTAAACGTTACAAGAAAACCCTAAAAATTTACTCGAAAGTAACAATCAACCACTGATATTTAGTAAATATTTTTCATTTATAACATCCAACCTAAAACTAATTGGCTACAAATAGAAATGTCCAACTTGAATATAAGACCATAGAAACCCAAGACTTAACAAATGTGTAATAAGACCACTTAACACTTCCCCTCATGTCTTGCTAAACAAGGGCTTATCACAAAGGTAACAAGCAGGAAGAACAGAACAAACCTAGGCTTTGATGCCATGTTATGCATTCAAACTAAAACCAATTGTCTATGATGGAGAGGCTCAATTTGAATATAGGATCATAAGAAACGCAAAACTTAACATATATCGAATAAGACTACTTAACAAAGGTAAGAATATATAAAAAACCATGGCATTCAAACATAAAATGAATGAGACCATCACCAATCACAATATTAATGAATAGAAAGAAACATTAAAACATAAGCTAGATTTAACAAAGCAAAACATGTAACCTTGCAACTTCCCTTTCAAATTTCTAATGATAATCCATGGTGAAACTGACAATAAATAAATCATAGATCACTCATATAATTTGACTATAGTTCAACTACAACATTATTGGTCGCTAATGATTTTGAAGAACATAAAAATAATCTTAAAATCCTGGTTTTTAGGCCTTAACATTTTGTATATACATTTATCATTTCTCTCATGTACACTTGTAAATTAATAGCATGTTCTTTTTTATTATTTAATTATTTATCCTATTTATTTTGTAGTTATAATTTCTTTAAGGCTTATGTCAATATAAACATAATCACTTGAAAGTGTTTTGATTTTTAAAAAAGAATGTACCAATGAGAGAAAAATATAGTTTCATAGATACAACATGTAGATTGATTGTTTGTTTCTTCCTATATCAGATTCCTTATTGTTTTTACTTGTAATTGTTTCGATATTGCTCATTTGTGCAAAATATATCAAGCTTTGATAAGAAGATTTTTCTACCTCTGAAAATTAGTCTTTGATATTTGAAATCAAAGGCACCCTTAATTAATTTATTCACAAATTCACTGGGTAGCACATACCTATGGTCTTACCCCATGTAGATTTTGGGGCATGGCGAAGTCTTTCAGGTTCTCGAAATTGTTCAACTAAAACAATAATTCAGAAAATAATCACATCAACATCCGATAAATACATAAATCAGTGGATAAAGTAATGAAACAGAAGTACCATACCCACTCATCATCCATTGGTATATCATCGAATTCCAAATGGCAGTCCTGAAAATTAGGATAAACATCAATTACAATAGCACATACCATCAATTAAAAAAATTTGAACAATAGAAGAATTACATGCTATTATTCTTGCAATAATATATGATGGTGGAGTTAACTATCAGTTTGATAAAAGACAGGTATATAAATATTTAACACTATGATGTTGGATATTTTAGGCTAGAAGCATAAATCATAAGGTATGAATGAGTTGTTCCTCAAAGGTGTTAATCTTTTGAGAGGCAACCTTTTGTCATATTCAAAGAGTCAAGTGCATGTGTGGACTAATTTCAGAGGAAGTGTGTAGATCAGAGAATTAGTTAATGAAATAGTCGTAGGTTGAAAGTAGGTTAGTAATCCTATTCCTATGTTGTTTGAGGAAAAAAGCACACAATGTGTTTGAATATAGGAGGTTATATACTTTTCCTACTTAACCAATTTATAATGTACTACCCTTTGTCTAGTAGTAACAGCACAAGTTGATTATGACTTAGCCTTCTCTAATACTCAATGGTGGCAAGGTGTTTTAACATGAAAGGCTTCAAGTGATAATTGATAGGATTTCATTTAATGTTCCAATATTTGGTTGTTTTGAATTGAATTGATTAATTAACTTGGCAATTGATTTTGTTCAGCATGGAGGAAACCATTACCATTTGGTTTTTAGTCTGATTTCTGTTTACCTGAATAACAGGTTCTTGCTACTTAGTCTGCAGTAATTTGTGTTTTACATTGTGGGAGAAAAGTTAGCTTGATTTGGGGTTTATCTCATACCTATCTTTATGAATTTGCTTAGATTATTAAACCAATGGAAGGCTTCAAGATCCTTAATTATTGAAAAGAGGATAATATAACAAGGAGAACTGGACAATCCTACCTAAGCTCCGTGGCAAGTATTTAGGAGATGAAAAAGAAACAACAAAAATTTAGGAGGTTGAATTTCAGGCAATAGAATGCATAGCTATGAAAGCAACAAAATATTGGGAGATTTAGTACTAGAGGATCAGGAGAAGTGGTAATAGAAGGCTGAGTTTGGTAGTAAGTAATGTTTGGGACTCAGAACTAATACAAAGAGAAGGGGATATAATCTACATGGTAATACTTATTTGTTAATGGTCAAGATCAGGCATTGACACTATTATAATAACTAGAGTATTAGCCATATTAACAATTGCACCAAAAAAAATGAAATAATAGAAGTACAAAATCTTTTCTGGGAAGGTAAAGGAGCATTTTTCAAAGAGCAGTATACATAAGGGCAAAACAAGGTCAAAAGATTAGAAATAATTAAGAGCTGGCACTCTGTAACCAAAACAAGCAGCAAGGAGCACCAAAGAAATAATTAAAACAGGGGCAAGGGCTTGGACATGATAGAAATTTAAAGTCCATCAACAATAGAAACCCCAATTCGGGAAGCAAAGTTCCAGTTAAGGAGATGACAGATCAACTAAAAGTGTCAATACTAAATTCAAAGATAAGAAGCTTACAACAGACAATAATAACCTAATGATTTGATGATAGCTATATCCCTCATCAAGAATAATATATGGGATTTGTGCGAGTGATTTTGGTATATGTTTTCTTTCACCAGCTAAATTGATAAGAAAAGGCTTTAGTATACATAACATATTCATCCCATGCAAAAGCCAACTGTGCCTATTTTTGTGTTTGCATATATACCTGATCATCTTGGTTGAGAAAATTTTGTTCTAGCTGTTGCATCCCAGGTTCCAGCGCTTTGCTTCTAATTCTCACCATATTCACTTTTTTGGATTCATCACTTACTTTTCTCTCTAATTTATCTGCTCTAGCACTGATCTTTAATTTGCACAACACAAAGCAAAAGTTAGAAATGAGACAAACAGAAGAAACAGACAGGGAGAGAATTGGTGTCTTACCTTCGAAAGCTCCTCTTTCAAAGAGTTTATCTCAAACTGTTGCGCCTCCTTCTCGTTTTTTAGTTCTTTATTCTCTTCTTCCAATCTTTTTTTCTCTTCATCCAGTTCTTGGTTCTTTTCTTGTAATGCTTTGTTCTTGGCCTTCATTTACAGATACAAAAATGACAAATTCCATAAGATATAAAAAAAATAATAAGGGGAAAATATGAATAAAATACCAAATAAAAGAAGAGAGAAAAAGAAAGTTCTTTACGGCTTTATTTTGTCGATATAATCTACCACTTTGTATTTTATTTGCATGTCTTTCAGCTACAGTTAGCTTAGGTTTGCGACCTCTCTTTTCTGGCTTGTTTGAAGAAGCCTCTGTATGTTGTTCACTTTCATTTGGGCTTTCCAATTGTCTCTTTCGCTTTGGTTGGTGACATCTGATCATTTTTCGTTTGTTTGAAGCCTTTGCCTCCTCCTCCGCATCAGGCTGTTTTTTGCTTTCATCGGGATTTTGCCTTTGCTTTGGTTGGCGACCTCTGATCTCTTCTGGATTGTGGTTTGAAGCCTCTGCCTCTGCCTGCCCTTCCATATTTCAAGCACAAAGGAAATAAAAATCCCCTAAAAAAAAGAAAAAGGAAAAAGAAATCTTTTCAATAAAAAAGTTTCATTGATCCGATCAGCAAAAGTAATAGCAATCACATTAAATCAGCAAAACAAACAGGAAAATATTCAAATAATTGGAAATAAAAAACTTTGCCCAAGAATAGTATAATACAGAAACAAAGTCGGGGAAAAAGGGATCTCAAGAAAATATAATGAAAAGAAGCTAATCATTCAGCTGGAGAAGCATTTAAAGAAGCTGAAAAGGACAAATTCGAACTACAAAACTGAGTATTGCTGCTAGTGCTACCATTACAGTAAGGAAGAAACAAGAAAATTGAACAAAAAAAAGTGCTAAAACCACCAAGAAATTATAGTTGCCAAAGGAAATAAGCTTCTATCATTGATCTTTGAAAGGAAACAAAGAGAGAAAAGGAAACCAGTACTCACTGGTTCAGTATCTGAGAAGGAATGAAGAATAGCTACGTAGGGTTAGAACTTCCTTTCTAAAATTAGTTACCAATTTGTTTATGGTGCGAAACTTTGCAAACTCGAGTTCGCAATAAGAATGATGGAAGAAAAGAATTAAGGACTCGGGATTGAAATTCCATCTCTTTCAACGCAGATATAACGAACTTTATATATAAATATATATATATATTTATATGTAATTATGCTAGAGTAAAAATATATTTATTTAATTATGTTAGAGTAAAAATCAATATAACCTATATAAAAAGGATCTTAAAAGTTTTTGCTTGCCACGTATTTTTCCTTTTTTGTTTTACAACGTTTTGCCATTTTGGTGAGATCCAGGGATCTTTTACTTGCATCAAAGAGCGTAAGGTTATTTCCTTGTTTATATGTATCTTTTTATATTATTTTATTTTGATAGTTGTGTTTTGACTTCAAAAGATGTGTTTAAGATTAAATTTCAAAGTTTTTGTTTTCAAGTTTTTGTTATTATTTCAAAGCTGTTTCGGAGGGTGTAACTTTCGCATGAAAGGGAGTTTGTTTTAGTCTGTGATTATTGGATTTTTTTTTTTTTTTTGCTATGGTATTTTTGGGTCAAATTTTTTTTTCTTGTTTTATTAAATGTGTGTGTGTGTGTTTTTTTTTTTGAAGTGATTTTGATGTTACACATTTTTATGTGAAATAGAGCTTAAGTTTTGTCATTGTCAAGGTTACGTATTATTGTGAATATGTTTTTTTTTAATAATTTATTTTTAAATGTTTTGATGTTAGATAAAAATTAAAATGTTCTTTATAGAAATATAGTTTTTCAGTATGCAATTTGTGTCTTTTTTAAGAGTATTTTATTTTACATATTGTTTGAATAAAATTTTTTGATTGATTTTTTTTTCTTTTGTCTCACGGAATTTTCAAGCCATTTGGATATTATATTTTTAGGTTTGTTTGAATTGTAATATGTGTTATTTATTTTATTTATTTTATATCTTGGTTTGTTAGGTTTTATGTGTTATTTGTTTTTTGACATTGTATATTTGATTTTTGCTTATCAATTGATTCATCTAAAGTTGAGATTTTTTTTATTATTATTAAGCTTTATATTGTGTTATCTTTGACTAATAGAGAAAATTAAATTATATGATAGGAAATGATATTGAATAGAAGTAGTTTTAAAGCAAAAAGAATTATGAAAAGAAAAAATTAGGTGATTGAATTAATTAGCAAGGAATTTTCCAATTTTGAACATTTTCTTTTTCAAATTTTCAAAAGGAGACACCTTTAAGAATATGAAAACTTTGATATCCATTGTTTAAAGGGTAAGTTTCAAAGATTGTAGACTGACTTTTAGATGTATGACTGTGAGCTCCTTGGTTAATTCAAAGTTAAAACCAATTATAAAACTTTGGTTTTCACCCAAGGACAATCTGAAAACCATAAAATCATCTCCACCTGAAGAAAAACCTTGAAAGTAGCACAATGTTGTAACTCTCAATTGAAATAAAGAATTCATCTCTGGAAGTGAACAACTTAAATGTGAATGAGCCATCTAAAATACCCTTTGTGTCAACACCAGTTCATCCATTAACAAATAAGCAAAGCAAAATTGATTATAAAGAGATAAATGGTAGTAAACCAATTTTTGAATCTATAATTCTTAGGAATTCTTTCTCCTCTACTAGTATACCTGCTTTATTTGTAATTTCTGTAGCTCTACAGGTTCATCTAAGGAAGTTTTAATTCATGTAGTTGTTGATCAAGTTCAAGGACAGGCATTCATAGCTTTTCAAGTTTTGAAGGTATTTCATTTTCACTAATATGGTGGAACATTTATAATATAAACCTCTATAGATTATGAGGACTTTCAACCTATTGCTCAAATATCTAAATCTTTTCCAAGTTATTGAGGTTGATGCTTAACCTAGCAATTTCTATACATGTCATGAATATGTTCGATGGTTAATGTCTACAAACAATGTTTTTTCAAGGTATAGAAGCCTTTCTTATTACTCTTGTGTTTGGCAGTATGTAGGCATTGGGAAATAAGCGTCTAATTAGCAATATAAAATGGGAAAGTTTATTACTTGAATGCCTTTTTGTTACTTGTAAGAATATAATGTCAAAAGTTTATCTTGAAAATATTACTGAACTTGCATTTGATGACATCACATTAGATGACTTTGATTTTTCATCCATTTAAGGTGAGAATAGGATTTCTTATTCTTGGCCATAATATTGGTATAGTAACTTTCTTTTTTTGTTCTAATCATTGTTGTTAATGGAGTTAGGTATTTCAAGCTTGGCAAAGGCTGGACTTATTTGAAGCAAGTTTTCAAATCAAGATCTGCTTAATGACGATCTAGGCCTAGTTTACTTTTTTTCAGAAAGGTTAACATTTTCCATTTATTTTTATATTAACTAACATTTTGCTGCCAATTATTTTAATAGACCTTTCTACACTTAACAATACTAAGTTTATATTAAATTATTTTAGATAAATAAAATACTACAAATTAATTTAACACATCGAGCAAAACCGGGCTCCACACTAGTTGATGTGAAAATCATCACACACTGTTAGGTTTTATCTCATCATAAACCGTCTGTAAAGATTCTTAAATCCCTTACAATGACTAACAATGACGAAAATTGTGACTATGTTTTCCATGCCATTACTGATAAGATGTCACAATTTTATCAATTTTGTTACAAATTAGTAACAAAATTTTTTGTCACAAAAGTTACAAATTACGCAGCATCCATATAATAGAGCTGTCAAAATTTGATCGACAAAAAAATCCATTTGATTGGTTGAAATCCTAATTTGAACCGATTTCGATTTGAATAAAAAAATCAATAACTCCAAAATTGTTTAACTTTGAACATGAATTAACACAAACACAAATTCGATCAAAATTTTAAAATTAAATCGAATTCAAATTGATTTAACTCGAATTATATCTAATCCAAATTCAGTCGAATCCAAAATGATCCAGCAAAAATTTAAATTTAGTATAATTTTACTTTATAAATATATAATGTATATTAAATAATAATTAGCATATTATAATTTATTAAAATTTAATAAATTTTTAAATTATCTCCTAATATCTTTATTTAACTTTTTCTCTTAATTATATTTAAAAAATCTAAAGCCCATTCTTTATGTTTATTTCCAACAATATAACAAAAAATACCTAAATAGATAAATAATAATTTTAAAAGAAAATCATAAAATATTAAAAAATTAATAATAAGTCAATAAAACTAATTATAATACAAGACACCATTAAATTAAAATGAAAAAAATTAATAATTAATGTTGGTCAATACTTGTATGAAATATCAATATGAATATTTAATAATAAATAATTAATTAATACATGAAATATTAAAAATAAATATTAAATATCATTCAACAAAAATTCATTAATATTTTTATTATGAACAAAATTAATTTTACTTTTAATGTAATAAAATTTTGTACAAGAGTTTTGTGACATTGCAAAAGTTTGCTACTTTTCTTTTATAAAATGGAAAAGAAAGGAGTTGGAAGTTAAAAGTTAAGAGGGAATTGGAAATTAGAAAAAAAAAATCTTTTTTAGAGTGTGTAATTGAGCTAAATTAAGTTGACACATTATCATATTTAAATTTAGCTTGACTTAAACTTAATTAAGTCTTATTTTTTATGCTTGAGTTTAGCTCATAATTTAATTGAGCTTCTCAAAATCAATTCAATAAGATTGATTAGGTTTGTTAAAATTGTAAATATTGATATTAAATATTATATTTTTATCATTATTTATATATATTAAATATATAAAAAATATTAAAGCTCGATTTAGCTCAATTAGGGTCGCAAACTTCTCGGATCAAATATTAAACTATTTGAATTCATTTTGATTTGTTTTTCGACTAATTCGAACTTGACTTGACAATGAATAAATCGAATTCAAATAACTCACAAATAACTTAACTCATGTCTTTCTCTTTTTTTTTTTTTAAACCTCTAAATTAAAAGGAGTAAAAAAAATTCTTTTAACATTTACAATAAATTATTAATTCTAAATAATTTTGTGAATTATCCATACATAGTTTAAGTATACCCTATAATAATATCATTTTGCTAAATGTAAAAATTTGTTTTACAATGTTTTCCTTGTGAGGTATATCAAAAAGTAGCTTTTCAGACTTAATAAATTGTGTTGTATATTAAAAAGTAGCTTTTATAAGAGGATTCTTTAAAATAAACTAGTGTTGGAGCCTAGCTTCGCCCAATCTATTGTAATAACAAACACTTAGGTGCCTATTTGTTGCAATTGCAAATGGCTCAATTGTTGCATACCTATTCAACTTGTGAAGATAAGCTTCTAATATATTTGGTTATGTAAAATTATACAGGTTACAAATAAACATTGGTAGGATGATGCTATAATTCATAATTGAGATCATTAGAAAAACCCCATTATTATCATTCATATGGGAAAAAAGATTGATGAAAACTTACATAATGACCCCTCATAAGATGCTATATGGATAAATGATTCCTTGTTTGACTTCAGCAACTTTGAAAGCATTTATGCATCGCAAGGATGGATGTGTAGAGAATCTGAACTCACAGGCAACTCTTAAACTTTTATACGTTGAATCTGATATCAAACCATGAGTCCAACAGTACTTAAATGTACTAACAAAACCATAGTAGTTATCAGTAATAGCATTTACAACCTATTAATGACAAAATAAAAAAAAAATCATTTGCCATTAATAATTGAAATTGCAACCATGTAATAAAAAATGTTCTCATTAATAACCCATTATCAACAAAAATCCCTTGAAATTGAAAATAGGATTCTAAACCCTAAACAATTTGAGACAATTGAAAAACACAATGACCTAAAAGTAATTTACCAAGAATATAGTCTTTTACTTTTAACCTATAGTCCTCCAAGCTCCAACTATGAAGTAAATATTACAGCCAAAACTGAGATAGAAATAACACTTGCATAACTTTCTCTAGCAATGTAGAAATATTTATGCTTGTATTATGGAAACTTTTCGAGCCAATTAATCAAAAAAGCATATGCATTTTCAACTACAAATTTACAATAGCCAGATCCAAAAAATATCTAAAGATTTCAAAATCCACTATATTAAAGTCTAAAGCA